GAACCTCACCTGGCGACGTGCTTCTTACCACCTTCCATACCAAGCTGGGGCTGGAGTGGGTGGGCGTGGCTTCTCGTCACCCCAGGACGGGGCTGCTCTACCCGGGGAGCAGTGCAGGAGGCCTGGGGTGCTACCCGCCCTCTCACATGCCTGCTTCAGGGAGGGCAAGGGTGGCAGGGCTGCTCTTCCTGAGGCTCTGGGGAGAACCTGAGTCCTCGCCATGGCTCCTAGACATACCCACCACCCTCAGCTCTCAGCCCCTTCCTGCACCTGCAAAGCCAGCAGTGCAGTGCCTTCAGCCTCTCCCAGCCTCTCACCCTCCCACCTACCCAAGGGGACCCTGGGGTACATGACTCCAGGTGATCAGGATGACCCCCGCTCAAGGGCCTTTAGTTAGCCGATCTGCCGTTACTTTCTCCCTAGCGGTGACATGGCCAGAGCCCCAGGGACCAGGACCCACTTGCCTGGGAAACCTGGGAGGTGTGTGATGGGCAGCAGCCCTTCCTGGTGGTAGCTGTCCTGGCAGCGGCTACTGTCAGACACAGGGCAGGCCCGCCCCCTCCACCTACGGCTGCCAGGGTGCTCATTGCATGGTGTGCGTGGCTCCTGGACCTGCCGTGGGGGCTGCTGCCCTTGAGCCAGCTCCAGGTCTGACGTGCACAGGCGGCTGACTTGTCTGGCCCTGCTGTCCCTGTCTCTTCTGGGCCCTGTGCCCTGGGCTGTTGCTGGGAGTCAGAGCTGCTTTGGAGGGGGCCCTGCCCTCCTGTTGCTATGTCTTTTTAGTGCCTGTGGGTCCATGCAAATTCTCAGTCCTAGAGAACTGGTCCCACATCCATTGGGGGCCAGTGGGGACTTGGTCGTACCAATGTGTGGCTGACTCCCGCTCATAGCGCAATAGCCCCATGCCCAGGGGCCATCCCTGGCTTCAGCAAGGGGACAGCTGGCCAGCAGTGCTCTAGAGAAGTGGCTGCAGCAGCCCACAGCAGCATGTACAGCTGGCAGACACTGCCCCAAGGTAGTGGTCCCAGCAGCAGGACCTTGTCACTGACTATGAGAGTCAAACGCCTGAGTTATGTCCTTTGTGTGGCCAGTGCCACTGCAGGAGTGATGGGAGACACATGGAGGGCAGGAGACAGGGCCACCAAAGGCGTGCGAAAGGGCAGGCTTGAAAGAGGAGAGATAAGCCAACCTGCTGCCCGGATCTCGACAGACAGCTCTGTGGCTCCCTTGGCCTTAAGCTGGGCTCAGAGTGGAGCTGGCATGATGACCCCAGGGACTTCTGCTGGGCTGGGGATCCCAGGATGCAAGATGTGGGGAGCACCAGGCATTGCCTAGAGTGGCCACAGGCCGAGGACTCTTGGTGGGTGGCTTTTAGCCAGAGGCTCCCTGTGTGCTCTGTGTACGAGGCCCTGCAGTGGAACACATAGGAAGACACACGCCCCTGCTAATGTGGGGGCCACCAGCTGCACACCAGTGTCCCTCAGGTCTTGTCTCATTGTCTCTGTCCTGATGTGACCCAGTGCCCAGAAGAGAATAGCAGAGGAAGGGGGAGGCCACGGCCACACGGGGCAGGGCACTCGGTTCATACCACCTGGTTCACATTGGCCCAGTGCCAGTGTGAGGATGGGAGTTAAGCAGATCTGCTTCAAGGCCTCAGAGTGGCCGCCAAGGTGACAAAAGGGAATTTGGCTGTTGCCACCTGGTGATGCTGAGCGAGTGCTAATATGTTTGCTGCATTCTAGGCAAGCATTGTACGGGTGAGCCGTGTCCCTCCCCTCAGGTGTCTGTGCCTATCTTTCTCTGCCTCTGTCTCTGTGTGTGTGTGTCTCTCTCTGTCTCTATCTCTGTGGAACAGGATGTTGAACCCAAGCTGCACTCCCAGCCCCTTTTTATATTTTATTCTGAAACAGAGCCTTGCTAGGTTTCCCGGGCTAGGGTAGAATTTGGGATCCTCCTGCTTCAGCCTCCTGGAATGCTAAGACGACTTGCAGGTGCCACCACAGCTGCTTTCAGCAGTCGTTTTTTAAAATTTTATTTATGTGGTTTTGAGCTTTTTAAAAAATATTGTATTGACACCATCCGCCTGTGCCTCTGCGTCGCAGGCACCTGGGATAGGACCCCTCCGCCAACAATCTCAGAAGGGGAAGAAAGGTCCTCTGTCCTATAAATATTTCTCAGACGTCTCCTGTAAATCTCCAGACGTGTCAGCGAGGAAAAGCTTGAATTAGGGCCCTGAGGAGGCCGGCCCGCCGCGCCCCCGGCCCCGGGCCACCGCTGGAGAAGCGGCTCCCTGCCAGCCGCCCGTCAGGGCTCCTTCCCGGGGTCCCCGCCCTCGGGGCCGAGCCCTGGGTCGTCAGTGGCTTGCACCCTCTTCCAGGGGTACAGAGGAAGACGGAGACGTGGCAGAAGCGAGTTTCCCGGGCCGGTGGGTGATTTATGAAGTGCTGAAAAGCATCTTCTAAGCTGTCATTTATCTTACAGCTCTTAGCCTAAATAAACACGGAATCCGCCTAAAAAAAAAAAAAATAAATAAAAAATATTGTATTTACAAGAAAAGAAATTTCCTTTGTAGACTCTTTAAGTGGGGATAAGAAAAGCAATACAGAGGCCAGGGAGGGGCCGGGGAGATGGCTCAGTGGAATAAGCGCTTCCCTGGCAAGTGCAAGTGCATGAGTTCAATCCCCTGTTCTGCAAAAAAAAAGAAAGAAAAAGAAAAAATGCCAGGGGGATAGCTCAGTGACATAAGTGCCTAGCACAAGGTTTTGAGTTCGAACCCAGTACCAAAAAAAGAAAAAAGCACTACAAAGACGCAGTGCTAGTTCCATGGTCATGCTTACATGGCCGCTGTCCCTTTAAACAATGACTTTGTTATTTGAAACAAGAAAACAAAATCCCATGTGCTAGTTTCATGTTGCATATGAGAGAGCATTAAAAATAAAAATGACCAAAGTCAGTCTGATCACCTGTGGAGCTGGTCAGGATGTCACCTTCCTCCCGTGGCAGCACCTATTCTGCAGGACTCAGTGCCTGTCCAGGGTGTCTGCTGGAGGGACGGAGAGGGACGGAGAGGCCTGATCCCTCAGTGCCTGTGCACCGCAGCCCCTGCCTGCAGCCGGGTCTGCCTCTCCGCCCTCCACTCTCGCAGGATCTCCGGGACACTGGCTGGAGGGCACCTCCTCTGCCCACAGAGTCCCTCGAGGAATGTCATCACTGTGCTTTTTGCCCACCTGAATGTGTCCCACTTTCTGAGATAGCACTAAGTTGCAAATTAATCAATGCTTAAAAAGCCTGTAAGTTTTCTTTCGTCTTAATAGCAGGACCAAATGTGCGCTCCTCGGCCCCAGGACTGGATGACGAGGGGTGGGCCAGACTGGGAGGGGGTGAGCTATTCACCGTTGATGCCCTCCATGAGGCTGGCGGTGCTGGGCACATAGTTCATTTTGAACTTAGATGAGGCTGCAGTAGATACCAGAGGTGGGCCAGCGCGTCTGGCACCTTCCTCCCAGCACAGTTGCCACTTTGGCGGGACCGAGATCGAGCCCTGACCCAGACCAGCACATTCACCCTGCTGCACTGCAAGCTGCAGCCCGAGGCTGCCGGAAGCACCTTCAGGGCTCATTTTTACAAGACAGATAAGAATTCCTCTATTCCATTGCCTGTTGCTGTGGAGGTGCTGAATATAGGGAGGTGACCTGGGAGTGGAGCACCATGCAGCCTCCTGCACCTGGCGTCTTAGCATGGTGTCCTTAGGGCCCATCTGCACCACGGCGAGTGTCAGTCTTGCTCGTCCTGGCCGAGTGATGGCCCGCAGTGTGTACCCATCAGTCAGTAAATGGCCCTCACGCTGCTGGGGACACAGCACACAGGTGTCTCCTGTGGACTTGGGTCTCAGTTCTCCTGGAGTCTGTCTTGGGGGAGGCTGCCAGGACACATGGGAATTCTGCCTAGCTGCTGGAGGAGCCAGTGCCAAGAGGATTGCTGGAGCCAGGGAGAGGATGGGTTGGTGTTTAGACGAGGTGAAAAATAAAACTGCATTTTATTTTTGTGTATTTCATACAGGGTCTCACTATACAGATTGGACTCATAGCGATCCTCCTGTTTTTCAGCCTCCTAAGTGCTGGGATTACAGGCACATGCCACCACACCCATCTCAAACTTTATTTAATCTTTGAGACAGGGTCTCACTGTGCAGTTCACACTAGCCTTGAGCTCACTTAGTAGCCCCGGCTGGTCTTGAGCTCAATGATCCTCCTACCTCAACTGCCCCAATTCTGGGATTACAGGTGTGCGCCACCTTGCTTGGCTAAAACTTTATTTAAAAGGCAAGTGGTCTGGATTTGCTCTTGGGCCCCATGGTGCTGTCTAACGCTGGAGGTGCTGGTACTGGGCCCTTGACCTGCCACCTCCTTCTCCCCTCACCTGCAAGGCTTTTCCAGCCTCTGGCTGCCTGTCAGTGCCATGGATGAGCTTGCACCCTCAGGGCTCCTGAATGCAGTGTCCCCAAGCCCTGGCTGCTCGGTCTTGGCCTGGCCTCCGCTTGCCTGTCAGTGCCTGTTCAAACATTCTAGAGTTAAATGGCATTCCATGCACACACACGCACACTCCACTCATACTTGCACGTGCATGTAGTAGGAATTGGGAGTCCTGAGTGGGCCAGCAGGAGGCGGTGCTCTGGGGGACCTCTCTCACCCGGGGCCAGCTCCCTGCCTGCCTCCAGAGCCTGCGGGCAGAGATTCCCACTCCCCAGCAGCTGGGCCCCCTGGGACAGGAGAAGGTCCCTAGGGTGGTGGTGGCTTGGAGGACATGCAGGTTGAAGGAGGGACCTGGGGCACGGCCCAGGGTCACAGTAGTGAAGACTTCCACACAGGAGACAGACAGGAACCTGGTTTGGGCACTCTGGCGGGGGGCCAGCCTATCCCTGCAGGAACCCTGGTCTCCAAGTGCCTACCCTTTGGTTGCTGCTGGCCATGGGCACTGACCTCCCTTCCTTCCTGCCGCAGGTTGAGCTCTGCTGGTGGGCCCTGCCCTGCCCTGCCCCACCCCATACCGCCCACCCCACCATGGACCAGGACTACGAGCGACGGCTACTGCGGCAAATTGTCATCCAGAATGAGAACACCATGCCATGTGTGAGTACTAGGGACAGTGTGACAGTGGCCCAGAAGCTTGTCCTTCCCTAGCACCCCCTCACCACCACGGTGGTGGCTCAAGGCCATTCGTGTGCCACATCTGTGTGGTGCCTCCACCCCTGGGCAAGGAAGGGGCCACCTGCTCTTCTCCCACGGCCATGTGGCCAGCATGGGCAGGGGACTGATAGCAACAGGAAGAGGCCTTCAGGGACCTGTGTCATCTCCTCTGGGGGGAGCCCCTTGTCCTTGTCTCATCCCCACCCTCTCCGCCCTGTATGGTCCCCAGGCCCCACTGGCTGGGTCTCTGCCCTGGTGGCACCTGGTGTCTGGCTTTCAGTCTCCGACCACCCCTGCCCCAGGCCCCTGTGGGGTTAAGCAGACTTACACCACACGGCGCAGGACAGGGCACAGTGTGAGCTCTGCACATTGACATGGTAGCCCCACCTGGTCTTGATTGGTTTTCAGCGGTGTCGCAGCAGAGAACAGGCAGAAGGAAAAAGGGAAAGGGGCTGCATTATCTTGGAGGACACGGAGAGAATTTGGGAAGATAAGGAATTCTCTGGATTAGAGCAAAGGGAGGCTGAGGCTGGCTTTTATGGCCTGTTGCCAGGGGTGGGGTTGGAGGGGGATGTTTAGATAGACCTGAGGAGCTGACTGGGGCCTTCCCTGAGGTGGCGGGAAAGGTGAAAGGACATCGCACCCTGGGCTGGGTTGGAGAAGAAGCGGGGAGCTGCTTTCTAAGCTGTTGTTTTATGGGCTTCAGTCATATTAGACAACCACCATAATTATTTAGCAGTTTATACTAGGGCCATAACCTATCAGGTCTGGCACAGATTCCCAGCTATGGCTGACTGAGATGGTTGTCATGGGCAGAGGGCACTTGGTCTGTTTGGGGTGCTAGTGGTTGTGCCCTGTGACTGTGTGGCTCCCTCTAGTGGCCTGGGCCAGGCAGCGCCTCCGAGCTCCTCCCTTCCCGTGTGACCCAGTCCTGGGGTCCAGCAGTGAACTTGGGTCTAGGCCATGGTAGAGCCACCAAAGGGACACAAGGATTACAGGAGACCAGAGTCCACGCTGACTGACGCAGCACAGGGGCTTGCACAGATGGACCTGGCGGCCATGCACCCCAAGAGCAGGAGGGAGCAGTTGCCCTGGCTCGGCAGGAGGGCAGCGGGTGCCACTGAGTGCCAGGGTCAGTGAGCAGGGGCTGCTGGCCATGGTCACCAGGCATCTCTCTGCACAGCAGCTTTGAGCCTTCACTCCTGGGGACCCCTGAGCCTGCGGGGCTGCAGCTAGATGGTGAAGGATGTTGGGAGTTTGGTGAGGAAGGGGACATCTGCTGTGCCCTGCATGATGGTGCACAGAGGAGCTACTGAGCGCTGGGTAGCTGGGGACCCACAGATCCCATTGGGCCATGGGGCAGCACCCTAAGGCCTTGCAATGGTAGAGCCCCAGAGTGGAAGAAGATGGGACAATTATATCATGTGACCCTAGGACAGAGATGGGCTCATTTCCTGGGGTCTGTCTCAGAGGTTCATGGATTGGGGTAGCCAGGGCTGCATCCCTAACCCCAGAGCGAGGTGCAGAAAGCCCTTCTGTTCTCTCAGCTCCTTGAGGTGGCAGTCCTTGGCATCCCTTGGCTTGTAGCTCTGTCCCTCTTGTCCCTGTCTCTCACGTGGCTGCTCCCATGTGTGGCTCCCTTACCAGGGCCTTGGTCACACAGTGGCCCAGTGCCCGTCCTCCTGACTCATCCCAGTGGATCTTAATTCCATCCACACCGACCATTTATTTCCAAGCAGGGTCCCCTTCCCAGGGATGCCACGTGTGCTTATGAGGGACATATAGCAGATCTCTGTGCAAGGAGGACATGGTCGGGACAATCAGATGGTCCAGGCTTCTTGGGCACTACTGAGTGCCTGGTGCAGGCAGTGAGCCCAGGCAGTGAGCCCAGGGCCTGGCACCCCAGCTTGGGTCTGTCTGCTTCGCCACTCAGGTAGCTGGGCGGGCCGCACTTCTGAGGATCTCACTGTGTTAGGACGGAGTGGTGGAGCTGCAGACTCCCCGGCCGTTCCAGGATGCATGCGCCATGCCTTGTGCTCAGGATGCCCTGGGCTTGAGGTGGTTTAGAAACAAGCTGTGGTGCCGCCGCTGTGGGCAGTCACCTGCCTGGGCGGGCTGTTGCCTGTCTGCTGACCTCCTGTCCCCACCTCCCCGCCCCTCCGTTGAGCCCTGGGGTCCCAATCTGTCCCCCTGGCTGCAGACTGGCCCTGTTGGAAACTTGCCTTTTTTTTTTTTTTTTTTTTTTTTTTTTCTTTTTTGCGGAACCGGGGATTGAACTCAGGCCCTTGTGCTTGGCAGGGAAGCCTATATTCCACTGAGCCATCTCCCTGGCCCCAAACTGGCCCTGTTGGGTGGGGACTTGGGGGTGGGGCTTCGGGCTGACAGGTCCTCCTTCCTCACACAGGTCGCCGAGATGCGGAGGACCCTGACACCAGCCAACTCTCCTGTGTCCTCACCCAGCAAGCACGGCGACCGCTTCATCCCCTCGCGGGCTGGGGCCAACTGGAGTGTGAACTTCCACCGCATCAATGTGAGGGTCCACCTGGGCGGGCCGCACTGGGACCTTGGGTGGTGGCCATCACCCTTGCCTGCCCCTTCTCCCACAGGAGAACGAGAAGTCACCCAGCCAGAACCGCAAAGCCAAGGATGCCACTTCAGACAATGGCAAAGGTGGGTGAGTTGTCTGTGGTCCTGTCCACTGGCTCCGACCAGCCCTGCCCCGAGCCACGCCCTGTGGCCAATCCTACCCACAACCCACTGCAGGCTGCCCCTGCTCCTCAGGCCCCGCTCCTGAGCACGCCCCTTCCCCACCATCCCCGCCCCAGCTCACAAGCTTTGCCTCGCAGATGGCCTAGCCTACTCAGCACTGCTGAAGAATGAGCTCCTGGGGGCTGGCATCGAGAAGGTGCAGGACCCCCAGACAGAGGACCGGAGGCTTCAGCCCTCCACACCCGAGAAGAAGGGCCTCTTCACGGTAAGCCCTGCATGGGGGTTTCTCTCCGCCCCAGCCCTGATCAGGGACCCAATACCTAAAGGGCAGGGCCAGGGGTGATGTCTGTGGCAGGTGCCCGGGAGGAAGGCTGACCAACCTGTGCCATCTCAGGGTTGGAAGCCTGCCATGCAGTCACACAGGAGGGGACCTTGTGCAGACCCTCAGTTGCCTGTCTTGCTTAGGCCTTTGCACTCCTGCATGGGGGGCCTGGGGTCCCTGGGGTGCAGCTTCCACTCAGCGGTGTCCCTTCCCCAGTATTCCCTCAGCACCAAGCGCGCCAGCCCTGACGATGGCAATGACGTGTCCCCATATTCCTTGTCTCCCGTCAGCAACAAGAGGTGAGTCAGGACTCAGGTGGGCAGGGATGTGACCTCCTCTGGGTGCTAACAAAGGGGGACAGGGACCTCCAGGACAGTGGCCACAGGCACAGAGGAGGTGTGGAGAGCCACCGTCTAGACACGTGGTGGGCAGTGATGGGTGTAGGTGGGAGCAGCTGGGGGGGGACAGCATGATGGCCGGGCCCCGGGCCCTCACCATCACGGCTGTGCAGTCAGAAGCTGCTGCGGTCCCCGAGGAAGCCCACGCGCAAGATCTCCAAGATCCCCTTCAAGGTCCTGGATGCACCCGAGCTGCAGGATGACTTCTACCTCAACCTGGTGGACTGGTCATCCCTCAATGTGCTCAGCGTGGGGCTGGGCACCTGTGTGTACCTGTGGAGCGCTTGCACTAGCCAGGTGAGCACCGTGAGCAGCAGGGTCTCCCTGCCTGGCCCCTGCCAGGGCTCTCGCTTCTGTAGCCCTCAGGGTCAGGCAGGACCAGGGTGAGCTGGGGTCACGGAGGCTAGACTGGACGGACCAGCAGGCAGCGCGTAGCCTCATTTTGACCTCTTGTCCCCAGGTGACTCGGCTCTGTGACCTCTCGGTGGAAGGAGACTCAGTGACCTCCGTGGGCTGGTCTGAGCGGGTGAGAGGGGAAGGCTTGTGTCCCAGGGAGCCCAGCCTTGAGTGGGTACATGGGGGTGTGGATCCTGCATAGGCCATCCCTGCAAGCCCACACCACATCAGCCATTGGGGCAGGGAACCCGGGACTGCTTAGGCCTCCTGGCACTGGAGAGGCAGAGGGGGAAGACCCCGGGCCTAGCAACGTGACCTGTGCTGCTGTGGCGCCAGCTCCTTGGGGCCCTGTGTATATTCAAGGCCAGGTGGCGTAAGTGCTCACCACAGAGCTGCATTCGCTGGTGGTGGGTTATGACACCCACTCCGAGCCTGGAGGATGCTTGTCACCTGAGGAGGGGCAGCCACGTCATACATGCGGTGTGCAGTGGGAGTGTGCAGATGCTGCCCAAGCCCCTGGCAAGGGACGGCCCGGGGGACCAGGTCCAGCTAAAGGGTCCCCAAGCCGTGGCCTGACTACCTGACGCCTGCTGTCCCCTCAGGGCAACCTGGTCGCTGTGGGCACACACAAGGGCTTTGTGCAGATCTGGGATGCAGCGGCAGGGAAGAAACTGTCTGTGCTGGAGGGCCACACGGCACGTGTTGGTGAGTGCCAGCGGCTGCCTGCTCCTCTGCGCACATGCGTGCCTCGGCCCAGCTGGACCCCGCTTACCACCTCTGCCCTGCAGGGGCGCTGGCCTGGAATGCCGACCAGCTCTCGTCTGGCAGCCGCGACCGCATGATTCTGCAGAGGGACATCCGCACACCGCCCCTGCAGTCGGAGCGACGACTTCAGGGCCACCGGCAGGAGGTGTGCGGGCTCAAGTGGTCCACGGACCACCAGCTCCTCGCCTCAGGGGGCAACGACAACAAGGTAGGGCCGTCCCACCCAGGCAGCAGTAGCAGCGCCTGGGCCAGCAGGGTGGGAGGGGTATGTCCGAGGGGTGCCTGTGGGACGCAGCGCCCCCCTCATGGCCACTGCCCCTCAGCTGCTGGTGTGGAACCACTCGAGTCTCAGCCCCGTGCAGCAGTACACGGAGCACCTGGCAGCCGTCAAGGCCATCGCCTGGTCCCCACACCAGCACGGGCTGCTGGCATCAGGCGGCGGCACGGCTGACCGCTGCATCCGCTTCTGGAACACCCTCACGGGGCAGCCGCTACAGTGCATCGACACAGGCTCGCAAGTGTGCAACCTGGCCTGGTCCAAGCACGCCAATGAGCTGGTGAGGCCCCCGCTGTGTCGGGCACAGGCACGGGTGGGCACCGGTGGAGGTGCCGCAGCGCTCACCCACCTGCTGCCTCCCTGCCTGCCAGGTGAGCACGCACGGCTACTCCCAGAACCAGATCCTCGTGTGGAAGTACCCATCCCTCACGCAGGTGGCCAAGCTCACCGGCCACTCCTACCGCGTGCTCTACCTGGTGAGTGCCTGGCCCGTCTGCTGGCCCACTTGGCAGCGTGGAGGGCCACCTTCTGTGATAGTCCTCCTTGGAGATGCACTTTTATGTTACATAAAAAACTGAGGGGAGCTGGGCGTAGTGGCACTCACCTGTAATCCCAGTGCTTGGGGGCTGAGGCAGGACAGTCGCCACAAGTTTGAGGCCAGCCTGGGCTCCAAAGTGCAGGGGTGGTCTGAGCTGCCTGGCAAGACCCTGTCTCAAAACCTAACTGTGTGAAGGAAGAGAGAACCAGAAGTGAGCGGTTCTCACCACCGCGTGGGCCATTCAGGCTCACAGGGAGCCCCAGATCCCTCTTTGGATGTCCTGGCTCTTGAATTTTTCTTTCCGGCACCAAACATGTCCAGCGGGTAGGGCGCAGCTCAGCGGGGGAGCGTACAGGCCATGTGAAGGCCCTGGGGTCAGCCAGCACCACCAGGGAAACCATTGCACTTCATCTCTGTGGCTCAGTGCGCATTCACACCTCAGCTGAGGGCTGTGCCTCCCCCCAGGGGTTGGGCCCCAGGGACTCCTGGAGAGGTCTGTGGACAACCAAGGACTTTCTGTCCTCTCCGCAGGCAATGTCTCCTGATGGAGAGGCCATTGTCACTGGTGCTGGAGATGAAACCCTGAGGTTCTGGAATGTCTTTAGCAAAACCCGCTCGACAAAGGTAAAGTGGGTCGGTATCACAGCGCCCCCTGCCTCCCTTGGCTCCCCAGTCTGTCCTTTCAGCCCCCCACCCCACCCCACTGTGTCATCCCACATCCTGGTCACATGCCAGCACCTGTTGGGGACTCAGGTCTGGTACAGCCTCCTAGCCCTCACCCCAGGCCCTGCTCCCACCTCAGATTTCCCTCCAGTATGCATCGGGTCCCATGATTCATGCAGCCCCTGTTCCCTGTCCACAGGAGTCTGTGTCGGTGCTCAATCTTTTCACCCGGATCCGGTAGACCCATGGGGCGGCTGTGCCGCCTCATCCCCAGGCAGAGACCCCACCTCTTCAGCCTGCATGGACCCATGTCCCCCACTGCTCCCCTCCATCCCGGAGGCAGTGGTGAGCAGGCACCAGGCTGGAGACAGCAGGAGTCTCATTAAATGCCTGATTATGAGCCATGTCCACCAGTATTTGGGCGGGACGCAGGACCTTCAGGATGGCTCCGGCTCCATCTCCTCTCCACGGCCCAAGGCCCAGCCTGTTCTGCAGTGCCGGCACAGATGGATGCCCAGACCCTCGTGTCTGCCTGCTCACCAGGGCTGCATGCTCTTCTGGAAGCGCCTGCCCACCCTGCCACTGCCGATAGCAGCTCGAGCTGGGGACATCATGGGGGCTGGCATGTCCTGCCTAAGAACATCTCCAAGTGAACTTATCGCAGGATGGGGATATGGCATCCACTTGCCTGTGTCCACCCCAATGCGCCCCCCCCTCCCCAGGAGACTTGGGTTTTCCCACCAGGCGGGGCTGCAACACCATGTGGCCAGCTGGCAACCTGCTGTAGCTCATGCCCCAACTCCCTGCCTGTCCCTACCCTCTACGCTGTCTGCCTGAGGGGTGGCGGGGGGCTGAGCTCCAGACCCACAGTCCTGGCTGTCCCCCCAACAGGAGGGCTGGGGCGCCCGCCCTGGCAGCCTCGCCCTATGGCCGTGCGTGCGTGCATGTGTATATACGTATTTGTGACTCTTCAGACTCGTGTCTGTTCTGTTGACCTGTCCCAGCAATGTCAGAGCCCAGCCAGCCAGTGCCCCCACCCTGCCCCCGAGTTGTAGGGGTGACTCATTGCCCTGTGGACAGTCAGACCTCTCTCCATGTCCCTGCTGCCCAGTGCTGCTTGGGACATTGAAGTGTGTGTTGCCACTAGTCACTGTCTTGGTTTTATTTGAGGGTTTTTTTGTTTTGTTTTAATAAGAAAAAGTTCTGCTCGCCAACCCCATGCATATGCCAAAGAGCCCAGAGCTGCCCCTGCTGTCAGCATCCTGGGGCCTGAGGCTGGAGCCCACCTGGCAGTCTGGGTGGTGCGGGCAGGGATGGCCTGGGAGGAGCCAGCCCAGGACACAGCAGCCACCTTTCTCATGGGATGCAGCGTCATTTTCACTAAACACTGACTTGCGTTGAAGGTGGCTGGCTGTTGGGTCTCTTCACAGCCCAAGCTGAGGCAAGGGCACCGGGCAGCTGTCTTCAAGCCAATCTGCTGCCACCACCTAGGGGCTGGGAGGGGGCAGGAGGTGGGCTTGGCAAGTCTGGCCTGGGGCTGGTTGGAGGAATGTGTACAGGTCCTAGCAGAGCAGTATTCCCTGGCTGCTGCTGGGGTGCAGACCGTGAGGGGCCAGGGGAGCCAGGGAGGAGTGCACCAGGCCTGGGCCACTGTGTTGCCTGAGGGGGTTGAGGCTGGCAGAGACTGGGTCCCCAGGGCAGGGCATCTCCAGTCTCCATCTTTGAAAATGCTGTTGTGCTAAGGAAAGAGGACAGCAGAAGTGGGGGAGGATGCGGGCCATGGGTGGGCATCTTGCTACATCCAGGAGGCTGTGGGCTGGGGCAGAGATGGGTGGGGAGGGAAAGGCCGCCCAGCGCAAGGGCTTGATCTGGAGGTGCCAAGGCCTAGGTGCAGACGCAGCTTAGCGAGGCAAGGAGGCTGGCTGGTGCAGAAGGCAAGGGTGGAGGCCACGCAGGTGAGGAATGGGTGTGGCAAGGAGTCGCAGTGTTAGGCTGATGGGGCAGGTGAGGCAGAGACCAGCAGGAGCCCAGGGGCAGGGATGTGACCCTGGCCTGGATCTGGTGGAGGTGGTGAGGGATGGGGATTTGGGATGTTTACTGAGTTTGGTTTTGCTTACATTTTCTGTGCTGAAATAAACACACAGCAGTGCCATAAAATGAATCAGCCAGCGCAGTTGCCACTGTTCCAGCAGGCTCCGTTGCCCAGGGAATATTCTGTCCACTTCCTGCCTCCAGAGTTGCCTGTCCTAGGCGTTTCCTGTCCCTGGAGCCCATGCGTGTCATGTTTTGTGTGTCGACTACATATCCCACGCTATGACGAGTGTCACAGCTGCACTCTCATCCATTCCCGAGACTTCCTCCCCGGCTGTGTGCTTGCGCACCACCCGTGCCCGCTCTGCACACATTCTGAAATGGAGGTGCCAGAGGGGGCAGTGAGGAGGGGCGGTGTGGGGCTTCCAGGGAGGGGTGCAGTGGCCTTGCAAAGGACAGGAGGGTGAGGCTAGGGACAGTGCGCAGCCTTGGTGGCTCAGACCCTGCCAACCTCACAGGTCACAGCCTTGAGCTGTGGGACTTGAGTGGCTCACTGCCCCCCACAAACACAAGGCCACTGTTGCCAGGACACCAGGGTGGTGGCCTTTGTCGATGTCAACAATAGCCCCACAGGCCTCCAGGCAGCACTTCTAGGGACACACAGGCAGCCATGCAGGCCCTGAGGCAGGAGGCTTCCCGGACCTATGTCCCCTCAGGCACCTTGGAAGTGGACTTCCCCACTCCGTTGTACAGGTGACCCCTGTCCCTTGCTTCAGGGGACCCCGAGTCTCAGCCCTGATGGGCATAGGTCTGTCATGTCCTGCTGTGTGGTGGCCCCTGCTCCCTCCCTGCTGCCTGGTCTGCTCCAGGCCTGTCCCCTGGCAGTGCCAGTTCAGTGCCTTGGGGCTGGCAGCACTGGACAGTCTTAACAGGGACCTCGCATGCACTCAGCGGCTGAAGCTCAGCCTGGGCAACCTAGTGAGCGAGACCATCTCCAAGGTCCAAAGGCTGGGGGCATAACTCAGAAGCCCTGTGTTAGATCCCAGGCACTTCTGGGGAAAGCACACTAGGGCTTCTCCATCCCCTGCAGCATCTTTCCACCCCCCCTCTCCAGTAAGGTCACAGGTCTTTCCTGTCCCTTTCCCCCATGTACACAGTGTCCTGGGCCTGGGCACACATCACCTGTGCTGCCTCAAGAGACTGCCTCCAGGTCAGGAAAGTTCTGAGATCTTTGGATCTGGGCAAAAAGACAAGGACTTATTTTTGGGGTGTGTGTGTGTGTGTGTGTGTGTGTTACTGGGGTTTGGGGTGTGTGTGTGTGTGTGTGTGTGTGTGTGTGTGTGTTACTGGGGTTGATCCCAAGACTTTCATGCTGTGCTCCAGCCTCAGCATTTTGTTTTGTCTCGTCTCAGCCCTTTTTTTATTTTTTATTTATATTTATTTATTGCTCTGAATGCCTTCAGGGCACGTTTGGCTGGCTTGAGTTGTGGGGATCCAACCACAGCAACCTGAGCCTGACTGCTTTGTTGAAGCAGCCACTTAAAGAACTGAGCTAAAGGGCAGGCCCCCCTCAGCCCTTTTTTGAGACAGGTTCTAAGTCACAAGGTTGTCCAGGCTAGATGTGAACTTCTGATCCTCCTGCCTCAGCCACCCAGAGTTCTGGGATGACAGACAGGGGCCACCACATCTGGCAAGACAGACTTTTAAATGTATCTAGGAGTGGACACCAACTCTTCTTCCCCCCCCCCCCTCCTTCCTGATGTCTTGATCTTGGGCAGAAAGTTTAAAGGCAAAAGGTTCTTGAGGTTTGGGAGTGCTGGGCAGAGGGGGCATGTGTACAGGGGACCCAGCGGTGTCCCAAGCCCAAGGCTCAGGCGTATGTGGGCCTGCACTGTAGGACAAACTTTGCAAAGGGACCAATGTGTCCATTCTTGAGAACAAACAGCTGAGGCCAGGAGGCACAGGGATGGCTACATTGAGCTGCTGTCATTGGCCCTCAGTGATGACTATCTGTCCCTGGAGGGGCCCCGCTGGGCACCAGCCATCAAGCAGGCAACACGCTGGAAGTACACACCCATGGGGCGCGACGCAGCCGGCCAGGTGTGGTACACAGGCCTAAGCACCCTGAATGGCCGCAAGGCCCACACCCGCTGGCAGGGATGCTATCGCCACCGAGAGCACAGCCTGCCCCCCGGTAAGTGCACAACCCCCCAACCCCAGCCAGCCTGGGGAAGGGCAGAGCCACCAAGCCTTGTCCTCCTGCCCTGCAGCCTATACCCAGCATCTGCGGGAAACGGCCTGGTATGACCCCATCATCCCTGCCCAGTACCTGAGCCCAGGCACCCGGTGGGGGAGCATGCTGTGGCGAGACAGGCCCATCCGGGGCAAGGAGTTCGGTGAGGACACCAACAGGGATGCGGCTGGGATGTAGGGGGAACAGGTGCACCCCCGAAGTTGAAGGGAACATGGACAGATGCGTAGTGACCAGATCTTGGCCCACAGTGCTCAACAGGAACCAGTACGGGGTGGAGCAGCCCCAGTGGGCTTCCGGCTATGTGCCCGACCTGTCCCGGCCACAGCGCCCGCGCTACACCACCCAGAGCATCCGGCACTGGGACCTGGAGCCCTACTGTCCCTCCACCGCTCAGCGGTCCCTGCCGGGCCACACACACAGCTTCTTATAAAGCTCATGCTGCCCACGCCGCCCCAGCCTCTGCTGCACTGTCCCTGCCAGGCGCCCAAGGCCCCACTTCGCTCCACCTTCTGCGCCTCCCTGGGAACGCAGGGTTGTCCTGATCACAGAGCAGTTGGGCATCAAGGGAATCCCAGGTGACCATGGCCTGGGACAGCAGGCGCCACACAGGTGGTGGCCCTCGCCTCCGGGTCCCCATACTGACCCCAGGCACACAGTAGCCAAGTGTGGTCCCCACCTAGTGGACGCCTCTTTATTTACTCACAGTGGGGACCTCGGAGTCCCGGGCAGCCCCGCTGCCCACGTGACTGAGGCCCAGCCCCACAGCCGGGACTCCTGGCAGGCTCTCAGACAAGGCTGCCCAAGGGCTTGCAGCCTACGAGACCCTCACTCCCTGCCCTGCCGCAGACGGGCACCCACCCTGCCCAGTGGGCAGCACCAGATCTGGGGCCAGCAGAACAGCCCCCAACCTGGGCACTGGGCTCCAGGGACCAGGCTCCAGGGCACGTGGTCCCTCCTCTGTGTGCAGCTGCTGAGCTCTCAGGTCACGGCCGGTCTCCTACGAAGGACAGTTTAGTGGTGTCAGGGAGGTGACCTCCACCCCAGCCCAGTGGCCGCTCTGTCCTCGTGCCTGGAGAGGAGCCCATGACTCACGGTTCTGGTTCCAATGGCGAAGGCGGATGGGCCAGATGAGCAGACTGCAGAGCGCCAGGGTGGCAGCCACACCCACGCCACCCGTCACGGCCACCATGACCCAGTGGTAGAAGCCCATGCAGGCCTTGCAGCACAGCTCTGAGCTGGGGATGGGAGGGACAGGGGTGAGTGGCCCCCACAGCCACCCAGCTGGTCTGCAGGCTCTTGCAGCTGGCCTCCACCAGTCCCCACCTGCCACACTTGCCCCTCACAGCATCTTCTCCACATCAGCCACCAGAAGGTGCTGTGAGCCCTGAGCCGGGTCCTCCCTCCTCTGCCCTCAGCCCTCAAGGCTTCTGCCTCCCTAGGACCAAAGTCCAAGCCCGCTTGCAGCCCACAGGCCTCTGCATAGCCTGCCAATCCCCTCTGTTCCTCCCCTGCTCTTCCCGCCCCTCGCTGTAGCCACACAGGCTCCTTTATTGTGTGCCTTGGGCCTCCATCCTGCCCCAGGGCCTTTGCATGGGCTGTGCCCTCTGCGCTGGCCTAGAACTCCCCAATACCCCTGATTCCTGAGGAAGCCCTGCCCGGTAGGCCAGGTCTCCCTAAGTTGTCCCTTCCCATCACCCACCACTAATCTCAGTCATTCACTCAGGTTTGCCATCCCTGATGTGGCTGACATTGCCCTGAGCTCTGTGATGTCAGGGGACCAGGTTGGCTTCAGTTAGGTACTGGGATGGTCCTGGTGCCAACTCTAGAACCCTGCCTGTGTGCAGCCCTGGGCTCTGTGGGCCTGGTGCTCCCTGCCTTGCACACTGTGTCCTCAGGATCCAGCTCACAGCAGACACCATGTCTGCTGACAATACATGAACTCGAGTAGAAAGAAGGCACAGATCTCCCTGTCCTGCAACTCCCTCCAGGGGTGTCCTCTGGCTGAGCCTCTACCCACGACCTGCAAGGCTACAAGGAAGGAGGAAGGGAGGGACTCACGGGCAGGGGTGAAGGCTCTGCACGGCCATGACAGCCAGCCCGTTGGCCACCTTGTCTGAGAAGCTCATAGCACCATACACGAAGGCGCCGCTTTGCTGTGGGAGACAGGCCAGGGTCAGCGCCTGACTGCAGCTCCCAGTCCCCGGCCTCCCTAGGCCGCAGCCCCGTCCCTACCGAGTGGGGACCGATGAGGTCTGCTGTCATGGCCAGTGAGGTGACCAGGATGGTGGCGCAGCCCGCGCCCAGCAGCACAGCTGCTGCATATACCGCCACGCCGAGCCTGTTGGTCAACGCCACCCAGGCAGCGAAGGCCAGAATCACCAGGAGCCCCGCGAAGTAGGTGAGCTGCAGAGGGAAGGCCCAGGCCATCAGCGTGTGCTGCGGGCGCCCTGGGCCTCCCTGGACCTCAGCCTGCTGCCTCCACTGCAACCCCAGCAAAGGAAGAGCTTCGGAGACAGAAGAGAAGCGCCTGCCTGGGAAGCACAAAGACTGGGTTTCCAGCCCCAGTATTGCATGCTGTGCTGGCCCCATGCTGAGTGGCCACAGAAATGGGGCGTGGTGGCACACGCCTGTAATCCCAGCACTGGGGAGGCTGAGATAGGAGGATCACTAAGAGTCTGAGCTGCATATCGAGACCCTGAACCAAATAAATTAATAAATCTTAAAA